AAAATAAAATTATTTTTAATTAAACCAGTTATATTCTAATTTGCTGAAAGTTTCCTCCTTAAATAGTATGTTATCAAGCCGATTTTGAACAAATATATAAAATTAAAATTTCATTATGCCTATAGAGCATAATTTTAACAGTTCCACTGAACTTTAATTTTTAATCATTTCTATAACTTTAAGCGCTTAATTTTAATTATTCCCTGTATGGAAGAAAGTTAAAAAGATATAGCTATATTTGGTAATATATACCAAAAAAAAATTTTTAATTATAAAGACATTTAACAGTAAAAAAAAAAAAAAAAGACTGAGATGAAGACTGGTTCAAATTTTAAATTGTCCAAGGAAATAATCAAATAGTTGAAATATTTTTTTTGACATAAGATTAATATAAAGATACAATAGAAATAATTATCTTAAACACTTAACTGACACTTAGTTCTGCAGTGTAATTTAAAATTCAAACCAAAATTTTATAAAAATGAAAGTAACGTTCTATAATATAAAAAATGGCATTTTCTTCCATAGAGGTTTACACATTTCCCAGTAGTCTCAATCCGGAACAACTGTAATATGAAATTTTCCCTCAGTGATGAAAAGCATCTTGAAATCTTTGTTGCAAATAGGAGGTGATTTCTTAAAGGGGGGAAAGCATTCAGGGTTAATCTTTGGATTATGGTAACTTCGGGGGTTTTTGGCAAAAATGTGGCGACCAACCCTGCTACATCAACCTGCTAGTTTTGTTTTGGACGCCATTTTGTTTTCACGAAGTGTTTTTTTTTTTTTTACTCAACATTTTTTCCAACAATCTGCTAGCCGAATTATGCTTATACCAAAACTTTTATGGAACAAAAATGCTTAATCATGACGAAGATTAGGTGTGAAATTGGGAGAAAGTGCAGAATCACCCACTGCTTGCCGCGTTTTTAACAATTGCACATATACGGTATCATCCATGTACACGTCGACCTATTTTCACTTAGAAAAACATCCCAGAATTGCACAAAAATGGCATTGCACACACTCTTGACTTTATCCATGTACACTGCTAAAGTCCTAGCTAGTAACTTTTATAGCCTTACCAAAATGTCGCCAAACTACCCATTACCATATTCCAAAGATTAGCCACATTCAGTTCAAGATTCCCTGTCCTTTCAAGGCTTTTACTCCTACCAAAGCCCCGGCCTCAAAAGGTTAATTACACGAAAATATTTCTATCTATTCATTGTTAAAAGTCCACAAAAAATAACGTGAAAATCCGAAAATATAATAATAAGTAAGTGAAGAATAATTTAAATTTGCAAATGCGAACAATGAGGGTGCTAAGTTGGCGATGTTTACATTTACCAGGTTCTTTGTGAAAGTGCTTTCTATGACTGTTCTGCATAATCTGTCAAGTTACTTTATACTAGGGTAACTCTAGTGCACATCTGGCATTTTTTTATTATTTCATTCATAGATCTAGCATTTTTCATTATTTAAAGACTACAGTCTGAACTATGCACCAAGGATTACTTGGAGTTAAACTAGATTTAAAACACTTAATTCTGCTGTTAATAAACGGCTAATCAGTTTTTGGAACAGCTTTAGTATTGGTCCTTTTGGCGATTTTTTTATTTGGCGACAAACTTCGGTCGCCAAGGTAGACCCGGTTTTGAAGATCGGAAAAAAATGGCGGATTGTCAAGAAAACCCGATCTAGACTAAATAACAATCCTAAAAAATAAGCTCTTAATCAGAATAAACAGTCTTTCTCTAATTTTCAATATTTCTAGTACTGCTATGATAAATTCTTGAAACACTACTGTAAATGAATTTATGACAATTATGGGTACTTTTCCGTTTTGCCGGCGCAAACGATAAAGTCGCCAATAATGGTTTAACTGATGCCAGACGGAATATCTTCGCTGGTAACCTTTTACGCCTCAGTTTCAAAACAAGTTGAAGCCATTTCTTATCAGATTGTTTCTTTGAATACTGGCATACAATAATATAGAATTTTTACACGATATTTAAATTTTATCCCCTAAGACAATTCACGGTAATTAAGTCAATTAGAACGCAATTACACCGCTCATCCGAAGGCGAAATCAAGTGTTAAATTCATCAATTCTAATGAGAATGCAAACTAGCGAAGTAAAGCACTGCGGTTTTACATAATTTCTGAGTAAGCTATTCGTACGAATTGAAATAATTCTTGCATTTAAAACTTGTATTCCAAATTAAGATTTAACTTGAAATTAATGTAGATAATTAACTGAGCGAATTATATTTAGTAGCGTAGTTTACGTGAGATGAGATCACTTGGGGTCACGTGATACGAACCGGCGAATCAGGATTTTGAACCATGAAATCATAGTAAATTCTTAAATTAATGTCTTTTTACAAATTTATAGTCTTATTTATTGGCTTTTAACAAAATTTTAAACCATATTAAAATGTTTATGCCTTCAAAATAAAAAAAAAAATTCTTAGAGTTAACATTTTTTATGTGTATACTGTATGTTGTCGCCAACAGTCTGCTTGGCGAGATTTGCGCCGGCGAAACGGAAAAGTACCCAATTATGTTATGAGTAATGAAATTTACAAAATGCTTTTATTTAATAAATTTAAAAGATTTATAAAATTAATTAAAAATGTGTTTTTTAATTACAAAATATAATGTAGTAAACATTAATATTTTAAGTAGTTCATATTTATGTTTTATTATATTAGTACTTAGCTAATATTTTAAATTTACAAAAGGTTAATTTTTATGTTTATGAATAATGAAATTTACAAAAGGTTAATAAATGCATTTCAAACTAGTATATGTTACTTTAGTTCTTAGATTCTGTTATTAAAAGAAAATAAAAAAAAAATATTTCTAGTACTTTGTACTAGTGAAGGAAAACCAAATTCAATTATAATGGCAAGTTTTGTACCAGTGTTAGAAATATTTTTTATGATTAAATATTGTAAATGGTAAAAATATAAAGAAATGTGTATTTTTTAATCCCTCAATTTATTACAAGTAATTTATGATTATAATTAAAAGCTATAAAATTAAATTATCATAATGAGTAAAATTTTGTACCAATGGTAATAATACAACAATCATCGTAAATGATGATTTCTGTGAAAAATTCGAACGGTCATTGGAATCCACTAGTGGTGGAATGATAGCCACTGAACAGTGGTAGTTCAGGCTGGCTATATGGGAGTTTTAGTAGTTTTCCGTAGATGTAATGTGAATCTGAGCCAATTTCTCTTAAAAAGTACTTTATGAAGGCATCCTTCTTCTGCTAGCCAGCATATGTATTTATTTTCTATTCATAATTCTCTCTTATTTTCTTATTTCTTAATTCTAAATCTTACTTCTGAAGAGAAGAAGTGTTGCATCTATAGGTCAAAAAATATGGTCAATATGTTTGCAAAATCCTGTCAGTTTTGGAAAGCATTTAAATAAACTAAATAGTTCGTATGTGATGCAAACAAAAAATGCATTACACTATTTCATGTACTGAATAATTAATCAGGGAACAAAAGTATATTGTGTAACGTTCCTTTATTTTGTAACCAGAGTTATTTTATTCTTGGGATCTTTACTGTCAATTTCCTCCATCCGTTTTCTCACCAGAATCCAAATGAAGTTTTTATTTTGTAAAACAAACTGTGTTTTGCCTTTTGAGGCCACATTAATAGATTGTAGATAAGAAAAGATTTGTAGTCTTCAGCCTTGCATTATAATTGCTGATAGTTGAATTCCATGCCAGTTAAGTTTTTAACCAACTTTGCATTAAATTGATTTGTGCAGCCTTTGGGCTACAAATTTATTTGAATTTAAATTTTACATTTGAACTTAATTGTTATCATAAGTTATCTTGCCACAAGTGGTTGACCGAGTCGTAAGTACAAAGGTGTGCCTTCTGTTCTGTACATCTAAACTTTATAATAGAATAAAAAGTATATCTTAATTTAATAAGAATATATCTAAACTTTATGATAAAAACATTTAAAGACATTGAAATCAGTATCAAGTCAAGTGCTTGCCATGTAGTCAAATTTTATATATAAAATTGTACTCTTACTTTTATTATAGAGTTTTTATTACAAAAATTCAGATTTCTGTTAGATAAAATGTTTAAGTAATTTAGAAAATTTGCATAAAAATTTAAAATAAAAAGTCGACTGTTATGTCAACATGCTATTAATGAAAGTAATAATATTCAGTGAAGGTTATTCATATACAGCTGTTAGGTTGTAAGATTTACAAAATTTGAGAACTCTAAATTATAAGCAATATATTCCATAATCTAAGCAACATTATATTTTTTATAGTCAGACAAATTATGAAAATGTTATAAAAGCAATAATGAAACCTAATTTGAACCTATGAATTCATGCAATTACACATCCCTATAGTTCTAATATGAGGTATACAAGTATTTTTAGACCATGGTAATTTTGATCTCCTTAGCAAAGGAAACACCAAGAGTTTACCTCATGCTACTGAAAATGTGTTTTTTTTTTCCTTGGGGAGGGGGGTGGCATTTATAATAATATGCAGAGTTGACATATGAAAAAATATCAAGACTCGTGTGATGTAATATTAAAAGCACCAGTTTTAGCTATCAAAAATTTGGCTTTTTAAAAAATATTTTAAATGTTGTGCTTTCCTAACACAAAAGTAACTTTAAGAAAAACACACAATTTATCCCTCCTGCCATCAAAGCTCTGATACCTATCAAATTCGTTAAAGTTACATGGACAGAAATGGCGGCATGTTTGAAGCTCAGTATTTAGGGTTACCAAGGTTATCATAATTTTTCATTTATCGCTCCAAAATATCGCCAAACAAATTTCTCGCCAAAAAGGACTAATACTAAAGCTGTGCCCAGTTTTTTTTATTTGTATTTATTTTAAATCAACTGTATATTAATTGACTATAATACAACACAAAATACCATATTTAATGTATAATATAATGACTCTGAAATTAAAATAAAATGCAAAACTTACTCTGCCCGATAAAGAAGAGGGAAATTCGGTATCAAAACGATTACTCAGTCCAAACCTAAAAACACAATTGAAAAATTTCAACATTTTTGTACATTTAGAAAACAAGACAATCACTGACAAACAAATCAGAAGCTTCTTAAGTTTTTTTCGGAAACCGAATGATAAATTATAGAATGACAACGCTTGACTTTACATATGCAAAAGATATTAAATTTTATATAATATGCATTTAATGGGTATCACAGATTTCACTAATAATACTTCATTATTAACGGTTTTGTTTCATTCATAAAAGAGAAAGTAACACCACACTTAATTAATACTTTTGTATTAGAAATTGGAAAGTGGAATCCAGTATTTCAATATTTGTGACAACTTATCATAATTTAAATCGAGATATTGCTCAATGGCTTCATCTGAATTTTCACTCAGTTTCAAATGATCTTCCGTAGGACAGAAGTACAAATTTAGAGGCGAACAAATTGCCGAAAAACTAAAAAAATTTCAAACTGTTTACTAACACAGTCATGTTTCCAGCTCCTCGAACAACTACAGGTTCAATTAAAAAATCATCTATATAACGTTCTTCCTCCACATCTTCTTCATATATAGCATCAAATTCGGCCATAATTTAAACATTTATGATACTCGTACATAATTTTTCAATTTAATTTTAAAAAACATCATGCCAATCCTCTGCACACAGTACGATAACGGCGAAGTACATCTATTGTTTTCATTGAAAATAGAAATAGGTTGAGATGTGCATTGCCTAGTTTTACGGTCACGCATTTGTGATTTCTCAAGATCAAAATTGGGGACAAAATGATTTCAAATATCTCCTACAAACTGGAAAAAAAAAAAAAAAAAAAAAACATTTTAGATGATAAATTTTGTTCATTAATTAATAATCTTTTTATTAATTTTAATTCCTCTTATATTTTATTCTTTTTATTTTTCTTGAGTTTTTATTTGTGAGAAATAAAAAAAAAGCAAGTCATGTGATTACCCAAAATTTCCACTACCTGCATTTTGTATTAACAAGAAACTCCGTAAAAAGAATTAAATTGTCTTAGCTTTTTTCTACCTGAAATTAATAGGGAACAATTTGTCGTCCAAACATATTTGCAACCTTGTAGTTGAAAGTAAAATAAAAAAATAAATAAATAAATAAAACCGAAATCAGAACTACGAATCTGAACAGTCTCTTTATATATAGTGAGCCCACTATCAAAGTATCTCTTTTAAATATGCCTTTAAAAATAATAAAATATTTCGCCTACCTGGGTAGAGCCAATGCCAACTAGATATCTAGTCCTGTTGCCTAGTCTGGACACCGTCGAGATGGAAGAACGGGTCGTTTTTAGCGATCTACTCGACAGAGAGCGAGTCTGGTGTCATCGTCTCGATCATTACAGAGATCGACGCGTCGGAAATTTTTCCGTCAGCTGGATAGCTGCCGTTTAAGTTTCTGACTGTCGTTTTAGACATAAATGAGGACGGCGGATAGTTTCTGGAAGTGTACTTAATGGATATTTTAATTTCTTAAGATTTGTGAAAAACTCGAATATTTCACTATAGAAATAACTCATTTGATGCTGACGATTCTAGATTATTTATGTATTCTACAGTAGCAATTCCTTAATTAAATTTTAGTGAAAATAATATATTTGGTGTTTTCCTATTTCACATATAAAGAAGGAGTGCATACTTTTAATTTAAAATTTTAATTTTTCAACTAATGTATATATCAATGTACTTAATTTCATGTTTGGATGAGTAATTTATAAATTTTGCCAATTTTATGTTTTAAATTATAATGTATTTTCCTCTACTTTTATTTTAATTTGTAGTGTATAAAAATTTAATACATTAACACGTGCATTAAAGAATATGCAGTATATAATTCAAATTCAATATTTACATTAAATTGCTTTGGGTTAAAAAATTATTTAAGTAGTTTTAACTGTACTGATATGAATGTCGGTTTCCAAAATCTCCTGTATAAAACAAGTTAAATTCCTGTATAATTTTCGGTTAAATTCTTGTAAATATTATAATGCAAGATTTATAATTAGTTATCAGTTTTTAATGTGGTCTGCTTTAAGATATTACATCAGTTTTGTATTTTTATTCAGATCTTAAAGTGCTTGGTTTTGGTTTTATGTAATTACGGCAAAGCCTCGAGGGCTATATGCCTAAAGTGAGGGTTGCCTTCGAGGAGGACTTTCTAAAGGAAACTAGCTCGTATACACGTAACACATGGGGAAAACCACGAAAACACCCATGCACCCAGCCCGTTCGCGGGATTCCAACCTTGCACAGAACTTCCCATGTTCAGGGATCTTACCACTCGGCCGCTTGTAGGATCGGTTTAAAAGGGTATAAATAAGAATACACTGGTGTGTAAAAATTAAGGACGAGACGGTTTTTTTCAATATAACTTTGTACAAAAGCTTTCCAAATCAACACATTTAATACCGTGAGAACCCCAATACGTAAGGACATCAGTAATGTAAGCAACACATTACTCATGTCCTTACGTAAAAGAGAAATCAGAGGGATAAAAAGAAGCTTTATTGAAAAAGTAGCATGGAGCGCAATGCAACTGAAGGCCGGAACATCCCTGTGATGGGTGTCCAGCAAGAAACATCCGGTCTTTAATAGGGGATATGATCTCCCCTGACTGCTAGGCAGGTTTCCCAGCGTCTGCCCATGCTGAGAATGAGGGTGTCAATGAGTTGTTGAGGCATTGCTGCCCATTCGTCTTGTAGCGCCAATCGAAGCTCCGGAATCGTTACTGGTAGTAAGGTACGAGCTGCCAAGCGTTTGCCTAGAAAATCCCATACATGCTCGATGGGATTGAGATCCGGAGATCGTGCCGGCCAATCCATACGTTCAATATCCTCACTCTCTAAGAGCTGTTCGGCAGCTACTGTGCGATGACATGGTGCATTATCGTTCATGAAAAGGAACTGCGGACCCATAGCGCCTCTAAAATGACGCACATATGGAAGAAGAATCTCGTTACAATAACGAGTCCCGTTGACTGAACCTGCGTCGAAGATGTGAAGGTCTGTACAGTCGGTCACAAAAGTATTCGAACACCGGTACCCATTCAGAAAATTTACTTTTCCGTTGAGAAACAAAATTGTCTCCAGAGTCCATCTTGGTTCGATAGAAAAAAAAAACAAAAGGATGGCTCATGTCCAAAATTGGCTAGGTGCATGAAACAAAATACAACATGACCTATCTGGGTGAGATGGGAAACAAAATGGCTGCTCACGTGATCCATTATTGCGCTCATAGAAAACGCAAAGTGTGGCTGCGGCTCGTCTTGGTTCGCGAAGAGTGAAAACCCAAAACGGTCTGTAGTGTCTATCTTTGTTGGATGAGAAAACAAAAGGATGGCTCATGTCCAATTTATTTAGGTGTGGGAAAAAATATAACGTGACCTATCTGGATGAGATGTCTCCAGCGATCCAGTATGGACTTTTTTTTGTCCCCATCTGCAATAGGTGACATCTATAAACAATTCCATTGAAATCTCCTCGAAATATAAGAAACAGCTAGCTCGTGAAATTGTTGTAAGGTATTCCCAAAAAATTCCACTTCTTGAAGAAGGAAAAAACATCCTAGATGCAGATGAGGTAGAGAGAGAAAAAGCATGTTGCACTATGGAGAGCCCGCACGGTTCTGAACAGAAAACGTGGAATGCTTTTATAGAAAAGAGTTGAAAGTGAAAGTAAAAGCCGATTGGAAATTTTTCACTTGGTTGCCGACTGGGAAAAAATTTTCAGAGCTCAGAAAAAAAATTCTGAGATGTAAAAAAAAAAAAAAAAAAAAAACTTTTTGTTAATTTTTATCATGTCTTCTAGACATGATAAAAATTAACCCTACCCCCCTTTTTGTGTGGGAATGTTGTCTCACTGTTTCTAAAAATAGACCATGACTCATTCTAGGAATTATATGTTTTAGAAAGGATGAGTCATGGTCTTTGGGTTTCTCCATTCCAAAGTAAACAAAGTGAAGACATCAAATTAATAGAAAAAAAGGAAGAGTTTTTTTTTTTTTTTTTAGCTCTGGAAATATTTTTCCCATTCAACAGCCAAGAAATATTTCCAGCCAATACAATTTCATTTTTACTTTCACTTTCAATTCATTTCTTATATCTATAAGAACATTTCATGTTTCTGTTCAGATCAGTGTGGGTTGTTCAAGATGCAGCAACTCTACTCCATCCCACAACCAGGAAAAAAAATGAGTTCTTTCATCAATCGCTGAATGGATTTCGAAAAATAAATTCTTTCATACATTTTTAAAACCTTCAAGAGTGTCCTGTCCCATTTGGAACTCAGAGCCTTTTTTCCAGAGCTCTAAGAAAATGTTTCCCAGTCAGACTCATCGCTGAAATGGATTAAAAATAAATTTTTTTTTCAACATTTTTAAACCTCAAGCCGTGTGTTAGCTGTCATGGAAAGAGCCTTTTTTTCCCCTGAGCTCTAAGAAAATGTTTCCCAGCCCAGACTCAATCGCTGAAATGGATTAAAAATAAATTCTTTCATACATTTTTAAAGCTCAAGAGTGTTAGCTGTCATGGAAAGAGCCTTTTTTTCCCCTGAGCTCTAAGAAAATGTTTTCCCAGCAGACTCAATCGCTGAAATGGATTAAAAATAAATTCTTTCATACATTTTTAAACTCAAGAGTGTTAGCTGTCATGGAAAGAGCCTTTTTTTCCCCTGAGCTCTAAGAAAATGTTTCCCAGCAGACTCAATCGCTGAAATGGATTAAAAATAAATTTTTTCATACATTTTTAAAGCTCAAGAGTGTTAGCTGTCATGGAAAGGCCTTTTTTCCCCTGAGCTCTCAGAAAATGTTTCCCAGCAGACTCAATCGCTGAAATGGATTAAAAATAAATTCTTTCATACATTTTAAAGCTCAAGCGTGTTAGCTGTCATGGAAAAGCCCTTTTTTTCCCCTGAGCTCAAAGAAAATGTTTCCCAGCAGACTAATCGCTGAAATGGATTAAAAATAAATTCTTCATACATTTTTAAAGCTCAAGAGTGTTAGGTATCATGGAAAGAGCTTTTTTCTTTTCACAGCCGACTCAATCGCTGAAATGGAATTAAAAATAAATTGTTTCATACATTTTTAAAGCTCAAGCGTGTTAGGTGTCATGGAAAGAGCCTTTTTCCCCAGAGCTCTAAGAAAAGTTTCCCAGCCCACTCAATCGCTGAAATGGATTAAAAATAAATTCGTTCCTATATTTTTAAAGCTCAAGAGTGTTAGGTATCATGGAAAGAGCTTTTTTTTTCACAGCCCACTCAATCCACTGAAATCGATTAAAAACAAATTCTTTCATATACATTTTTTAAAAGCTCAAGAGTGTTAGGTTTAATGGAAAGAGCTTTTTCTTTTCACAGCCCACTCAATCGCTGAAACGATTAAAAATAAAAATTCTTTCATACATTTTAAAGCTTAAGCGTGTTAGCTGTCATGGAAAGAGCCTTTTTTCCCTGAGCTCTGAGAAAATGTTTCCCAGCAGACTCAATCGCTGAAATGGATTAAAAATAATTTCTTAATACATTTTTAAAACCTCAAGAGTGTTAGTTCTCATGGAAAGAGCGTTTTTTTCCCTGAGCTCTAAGAAATGTTTCCCAGTCCACTCAATCGCTGAAATGGATTAAAAACCAATTCTTTCATATATTTTTAAAGCTCAAGCGTGTTAGCTGTCATGGAAAGGGCCTTTTTTTTTACCCCAGCCCACTCAATCGCTG